TTTTGGTGAATCTTTAACATCTTGTTCGTGTTGGTTTTTGGAACTATTTACCAGTTCTGTGTCAGCTGCAGAACTGATCATGGTGGCTGTGGAAGACATTAGGTCATGTAAAACTGCAGAAGGGTGTGGATTACCTGCAGTGTGAGGAGCATGAGATAATGGGTTGCTTGTGTAACATGGCAGAGCATCTCCTTCTTTGCCCAACTTCAGCATGTCAAGGCAACATTCTGCATCTTGAGATAAGTCAATTTTGGCTTCTCTGGGTTCTCTCAGTCCTATAGTATCCACCTTGGCTTCTTGGCCGGCTGTCAACCTGGGGTTTACCACGACTGTTCCAACTTCCTTGCTATTTGTTTTGTGGATGATAGCGTCGGGCAGGGCTGCATCCCTTTCCTTCGGATTATCAAAGCTGGAACCAAGCCACCTGCTGCTGAGCTGCTGGGTTTCCTTCTCCTCTGAGAGTCTAGTCAGATTCAAGAAAGGCGTGGTGGGACTGAGGTACTGTGAAATAGCCTGGACACACTTCTCCACCACCTGGCTCATCTGGAGTACACTGGCTGCAGTCAAGTAGCTCACAAGTTCTCTCTGAGGGACCTGCATACCAGCAATGGATGAAGCAACAATGAATATTAAAGAAACAGCACCAACCGTAAGAAAAAGAGGACTTATTATACTTCTTTGTGAGCTTCTGAGACCGTGAGTCATGCAGAGCTACTATAATAGAATGTAAGAATAAAAATATGGATTGAAAAATTTGTACAATAGGTTCCCCTTTAAAATAATATTCCTCTTGTTCACTTTAAATATGGATCTATTATAAAACTATATCTAGAACCTTTCATTATAGTACAGAAATGAATGATTATACAGTAAAACAAACACCTCAGCTCAAAAGACTTTTGATATATGGCCATATTCAGCTCTGTGATTACAGAAACACTAGATCTTGCACCTCTAGGAACCCTGTGTAGCAGGACAGGAGTAGTGTCTTGGCAACCTTCACGTTGGAAACAACAGCCACACTCAGCTCTGATCGGCCTTTGTGAAGCAGGAACTGATCACGCAGGAAGTCTGAGGATGCTGCAAGCACCACTCTGTGACCTTGGAACTGGAGAGGATGGACAGTAGAGTCCTGTGGCCTGCCCAAGATGAGCGTGATGTCACAAAAGCGATGTTCTTCTCTAAGATCATTCATTTTGCTGAGGATGGAGTCCCCGTGGTTGGGCAAACTAAACTGCAGAGTCTCAGAACAGCCTGGCATGATGGTCTGTCTATAGTAAGAGCATAGTTCTGTTATCATATGGATGCAAGTGTGAGCTGCATAGATTACCCTAATTTTTCATGTTTATTAAAAGGCTCCAAAATGTGGATAACAACCATGTTTTCATTTTCATTTTTCAAATAGGTTTTGGGCCCTGTGTAGGAGTGAGTATACTGCATGTGTGACATTTAAACACTGTAAAGGTTTTGGCATTGTTGGAGATACCATAACATTAGCCCTAAATAACATGATTTACTGGCAAATTCAAACATGTCATAATCAGTCAAATCAATATCTAGCGATCCAGCCCCACCTTGTACTGCAGCCTCATGCCGTGGTAACGGTTCCTGGGTGAGGAATGGATGAGAACCCCAAATAACTTTGAGGAAACACTGGCCTCTCTATTCACCTGATCTCCTTACGGGTTCTGGCGTTCCTGAGGTTTAATTAACGCTCTGCAGATGTGGAAGGATTTATTTCGGTAAAGAAACAGGCATCCTGACTTGCAGTGGCTCTTTGCTGAGGAGGCTTGTGGCAGCAGTGTGTGTGTGGGTGCCTGCGTGCGTATCCACGTTATGCAAGAGGGCATGAAGTAATTAACCCCTTCAGTGCTTTTAGTTCAGCCTTTTTATATATATATATATATATGTATATATGTATGTGTGTGTGTGTGTGCGTGCATGTCTATATATATATATATATATATATATACACACACATATGTGTGTGTGTATATATATGAAGAATTTGATGTTCTGCAATGATGCTCAAAGCAAAACACAAACACACTTGGTTCATGTCCTCCTTGACTTCTCAGTGTACATACCTATAAGTAAGAGCTTTACATGGTCGGGACCTTGAAATTAAACACATTTGGTTTACTTAAAAAAACAAAACAGTTTTAATGGGCTGTGTTGGTATTCACTGGTATTCACTGTCCCACCACTTGCAGCCTTGGAGCAAATTGAACAGGTGGACTCAAATTGTAATGTGCAGCAGACTTATCATGCTTTTTTTATTTTCTGTAATATTTTCTCAGTTTGGTCACCTCAAACGTAGAGCTCTGGCCTTGTGCACGGAAGACCCTCCCACCTTCTGCACGTCAAAGAACTATTCTTTGCCTTTGAAAAACATGAAGCAATGATTTAGAGTAAACTGCAACTGAAATACACACTATCAAGGGTTTATGTATTTCAATAATCAATCATAAAGAGAAATATGGTTGGTATAAACTGAATGCATTTTAATCAAGTATTATTCAATTTCATTCGATCAAATTCCATTAAATTTTACATTTTAAATTGTACTTATGTTACGAAATTACATGGAAAATTAACATGTAATTAATTTATGTAAAGTCAGATATTAAATTTTTTTTGTGTGTATTCAAACCTTCTTTTTGCCCGGGTTAGGCAATTAGAAGAAAATCTGTCTTAAAGGGAGGGTGGCCTTAAAGTAAAAGGTGCTAAAACACCTTGTTTCAAACAGTGTAAGATAAACTTTGAGCAGAGATTAACTTGATAATTAGCACAATAGAAACCCTTTAAGGCAGAAAACTTCACTAATATAAATGAAGAGCTTTTACAGTCATAGTACATAAACATGTTCTATCATCATCATCTGTTTGTATAATGCACAAGCTTGAAGACCCAATATGATGATTGTCTTGTTTGTCTTGTTTGTTTTGCAAGTTTATTTTAGCACAAAATGTATCTCTATATATCTTGAAAAATATAGATAAATTGTGTGGTCAGCTGTGAAATGCATTTGACTTTTTTTTAATAATGTGTGGACAGAGTTTTGCATTCCAGTGGTCATATGATGGAAATAGATTGAAGTTGCTGATCTATGCGAACCACCTCAAGGCGTGGATTTGGGGCTGCACACAAAATGTGTATTTATTGAGTTAACTCAAAGAAAAAGCATGTGAGGATCATCAGTGGCAGGGTCAGGTCTAAAGAGCTAATAAATCTGAATGGTTGCTACACTGCTCCAATTTGTGCCAGAGGATAATATTTTGGAACTTTTAAAGTGTTCCAAAGGAGATGAGAAAAAGAAAGGATTTAATCCAAAACAGAATCTTGGAGAGACATCTCTCTTTTTTTGGTAACAGAATGTCTTTGTAATATCAACCATTCATCACAGAACATTTTGTTCAATCAGGTAGAATTTGAATTTTACGTATACATATGTTTCCCTGTTGCAAATGGGCCAAAAAGTGAGGCGCAACAAGGTTATTGCTTTCTGTTTGACCAAATCTTCCCAAAGTTCCTGTCACCTGTGGTTTTTAGGTCACCACTCATCCCGTGGTTATTTCAGTCAACTTTGTGGTGTAGAGAAATATTTCCTTGCACTTTTATTTATGTAACCATGTTGATTTAGACATAGACATGGACTTTATTTAAACTCACACTGGGGAAATGAACTTGTTGCAGCAGCACAAGTGACAGGAAAAAAAAAGGTGAATTAGACATGGATTAGAAAACAATGTGTCATTTAGCTAAAAAAATAATGTGACTATGTGAGCTTTTGTAGCTGAAGTCTCTCTCTTATATCACTGCCCCCAGTATACTGAATAAAATTTAGCAAAATTTGCAGTGCCAATAAATCTAATAAAGCAGTGGTTCTCAAACTGTGGTATGTGTACCACATGGGTTCCCTCTAATGGTACGTGGGAGGACTCCCCCCAAATTTTTAAGATTAAATAATATACCATGTTCTTTTTGAGGGATTTCTGAAAATTTTAAATGTACAGCTCTGCTATCACTTCCGACATAAATGAAGACAGGAAACTAAACAGCAGTGGCGTTTGTAGGGCTATGTGGTGGCAACACAGTCATTAACATACTGCTGCATGGGCTGAGCTGTAGTTACATCGTAAGGTTTTAAAAACTGAGCTTTAAAAAAAAACAGTGGTAATGAAAACCGAGAGAGGCCGACAGTGATCACCGACTGTTTTTAGGGGCTTGTTCAGATTAAATAGAAGAAGATACAAAGCTTTAAAACATGTTAAAAACACAACAGCCTTAATAAACGAAGAGTAGTTTGGACTCAGAAGCAGGGTTCATAAGTCATCATTTAAAGACCGGATTAAAGACCGGTGAATGTTTTAATGCAGTGCAGTTGTTATTATTATCACTTGTCACATCCTGTTTATGACAGTTAAAATAAATAACATTAATTTAAGAAATAAATAAAACATAATAAAAAATAATTATTTTTAATTAATTAAAAATATACAGATACATATTTTCTATAGTTGTTTGATTTAACTGGATATTAGGCTCATCCAGCAAGAGCATTTATACATTTTCTGATTTTTTTTTTAAAATTATTATTTTGACGCTTTGGTCCTCCATACATGGCCAGAGTGGCACTCATCATGGAGAATGCCGTTTATTTTACTGAACACCATCGATCTATAATGCTTAAATGAGTAAAAACATTTTAATGTCGTGGCTGGGAGGGATTTTTAGGCTCATGACCTTAAAAAAGGTCAAAGCTATAAAAATGTGTTCAAGGAAAAGTAGCCCACAGTATTTTCATATGAACTGAAGCGAAGTAGACCTGTAAAGGGGCCAAAAGTAAACACTGTTGCTGATGGCTGATATATCAACATCGTTTTTATTTTTATTTTTTCTACGTCAAACGCGGAAGGAGCTAGGGCGAGGGCAGAGAGCCAGAAGCGAGCTTAAACAGAAAAAAAGGGGCATTCTGCTCCGCCCTCAAACCTCCATAATCTGTCGCTGTATCAGTGTGTCCGCACATAACAGGAGGTTTCTACGGTGGAGGTTTCAGTCCGTGCTCTATTTGACGTTAAAGCAAACATGTCGTGTTAAAAAAAAGAAAATACGGAGAGCTGACCTACAGTGTAGTTAGTGTGGAGAGTAAAACGAAGCAGTCGCAGGGAAATATGTAAAGACCAACAGGATGGCGTTTGAGGGAGAAAATAACGAAGCAGCGGGTACTTTTATTGACAGCTATGGTGAACATTCAGGAGCCGTCGTAGCTTAGCTGTAGCGCGAAGTTGACCCAGCACTGGACTACACGCCGACCCGCAGACCCGAGCGGACGGAAGGGAAGCTGAAGCAGCCGTAACCTAAAGGAAGGAGAGTAAGTGCGAGCGTGTGCGGGTGATGCTGAGAGGAGTCATTGTTGCTATGAATTTAATCCTGCTTATGGTTAGCGCAGTAACTTAGCTAGTCGAGCCGGGCTTCATCAGTTGGTGTGTGGCAGTCAGACTTGCTAAACTTTGCTTTTTTACAGAAAGTTTTTGCTGAGCATGTGCCTGCCATACTTGTGTTTACGTGGTAAATATAGAAACGGCTGCACACAAGAAACTTACTAAGAAAATCCATTTAGTTAGATTTTCACTGCAGTCCACTCTCAGTTTATCAAACATGCCCGTGTAAAGAAAAAGACTCTAATGATCATTGATTTGGATCAGGAGTTTATTACAGCCTATATGTACTGCTGTGCCCATCTGCCATCAGCAGTCCGTTATCAACCAGTAATTCGAGTTTTGAAAACCTGAAGAGGCAGCACTTTTACAGACCTTCAGGAAAAAGCTGACCTTCATGAAGACCCCCTCTGCAGAGCTTTGCATGTTTGTTGACGTGAATAAAGCGATGTCAACTCAGCGATGTCAACAGTTTACATTTATTTATAACTAGTTTAACCCTTTATTACCAGATTATATACCTACGTACATCATTAAAGTATGATGCTATAATACATTATATACTGGGACATGGCATTCTAATCTGGCATTCCATTCTATACCACGATATTCCACACCTTACTGTAATGTTCTGTTCAATATGACATTTCATTCTATGAAATTCCTTTCTATATTATGACAATCCAATCTTTACTATGACATTCCATTCTACACTACGACATTCTACACCTTACTATAACGTTCCTTCAATATGACATTGCTTCTATGCTATGACATTCCATTCTATACTACGACATTCTACACCTTACTATAACGTTCCTTCAATATGACATTGCTTCTATGCTATGACATTCCATTCTATACTACGACATTCTACACCTTACTATAACGTTCCTTCAATATGACATTGCTTCTATGCTATGACATTCCATTCTATACTACGACATTCTACACCTTACTATAACGTTCCTTCAATATGACATTGCTTCTATGCTATGACATTCCATTCTATACTACGACATTCTACACCTTACTATAACGTTCCTTCAATATGACATTGCTTCTATGCTATGACATTCCATTCGGTGTACAGTCAAATTGTCTATTAAGCTGAACTGTACAAACATATTCGATTGTGGAATTGTATAAAATGTTTGTATATGCCATATACGCATCGGCACTCACAATGTCTCATCAAGATTGGTTCACTCGTATAGGAGGAGATAGGGAGCATACAAACATGTATAGTATGATTTCTCTATTTTGTTAAACTTTGGGTGTTCAGGAACTAATTCACTGGGGAGCTGCATCCTAGAATTATTAGTTTTCTATACTCTTACTTGTTTTTCCTTCTTACCTCTGAGCTTTATCTTAGGAATTTGATTTTTTTTCAGTTAGCACCCAATGAGGATTTAGCATATTTCAGTTTTGTCTTTATGGTCTACAAGCGTGTAGTTTTAGTTTCGTTTTTATTACTTTCTTTCTTAGTTTTATTTATTTATTTATTTTTTGCCATTATTAGGATATAGAGACTATTCATTAGGAGCATGTATTTTAGAACTTGAGAATAATGCAATTTTTAATGGCACTTGATTGATGATCATATAGAATAGTAATCCCAAGTCTCACCAGGACACAAATGCATGTCTCATCAAGTGTGTTGTGATGTTGTTACTTCCCATTTTTCTCATAATTCTTGTCTTTATTTCTGTTAGTCTTGCTCATTTAGTTTTGTATTTTAGTTTATTCTTAGTTAACTCCACTAACCTCCCTGTTACTGGAGTTATAGCTTAAATACATAAGCTGTAAAATGTATTTATTTATGTAAATAAATACATAGCTCAAGATACGTCTATCTTGAGTGCAAACTACACAACAGGAACACAGTCTCTAAACCGATTTAAGGCTTACATTAGTGTGTCGTACAGTTCCTCATTACAGACTGTCTTTGATAAGGCTAATTATTATAGAGGCCTGTAGACTGAACTCATTGTCATGGTGGAAACGGCTTAATTGTATTGCATGACATATTCCTGGCACCCCAGTACAGAACTCACTTTAAATTGGTGTGAATAGCATGTCTAACTAGTCTAAAGATTCAAACAATGGGGATTTGTCCAGCTGCTTACTGCCTTCTTCCAAAGTCTCCCCTGCCTCTTTTAAATCAGTACTTTAGTGAAAATGTCTGGCAGCTCCTTCCATATTGTAACAGATTTTATTTGCAGAAGGTTTTTAGACAGTAATCATATACTGCTTTTAGATCACCAAGGAGAGGCTCCTGGGAAACCTTTGAATGAAAACCACTAAGAACAGGTTGCTTTATTTAATGCTTGCAAGAGCTCGCAGCATTCAACACATATAAATGAAAGGTACAAAAAATAAATCAACCATTATCTTAATCTAAATTCGTGTCCTCCCTGAAAAGGCATTTGTAACAGCTTACTCTGATTTTTATCAGTAAACGGGAATACTTTAATAACTGGAAATATTTGTTGCTCCAATTGAAAAGGATACAGACCAGTTGAACAGGAGAATGATCTTCTTTATGTCGTTGGAAAATGAGCTCAAGTATGAATAAACTCCAGCGATAAGGTCGGTTGCACAGTATTAGACCGTTTTGGTAAGATGTAATAAAAGGGGATTCCCTCATCCCTTTAATCAACAGCGCTCTCAAGAACCTTTGACAAAAACCCCAACTTTGAGTCTTCATGGGGGTAGGGTTTATTACAAACCTTTTACATTACAAAGCTGCTAGATTTATGATTTGAATGGATTCTTTATAGTAGTGATGATTAATTTTGCAAGCCTGTACTCTTGAGAGCAGTCAGTTTCCAGTTCAAGCTTTATAATTTTTGAAATGTTTGAATCATCTGTCATCAGTAATACTAAAAAGAATTCTTATTCTGACTGTATGCCATTTGAAGGAAAGTGCTGGTGATAGAATAAGGTCCACATTTATCACAACAAGGATATACTGAAGTAGTATAAGTATGTTAGGTTTAGATCTGACATATATACAGTTTGCCACTGCTGTCTTATTTTAGTTGTAAAATAACCACTAATAGCCTTGGTAATGTTTCAGTTGTGTATGTAGGCAGAGCTGGCACAGTTTTCAAAGACAAATAAACTGTTTTATTTACTGGAAGGACAACATCAGTGACACAGGCATTTTATGGGGAAAGTACATTATTCTTGCATCAGTGTGTGCAAGTTTTATCCAGGTCATGTACAAAGAACCGCACTGTCAGCTGTTGCAGTGGAGAAAAATTAGTTGAGTGGTTTAAAATGGAACAGCACGATAAGAGCTTCATGTTGTTTCATGTCACAACTTTCTTTAAATAATGTTTATGACCCTTTTAGGAACCATCACAACACAGAGAGACTTGTGGCTAGATTAGAGCAAGGTCCAAGGAAGTAGGGTTTAGTGTGCAATGCAAATGTGAAATTGCTCAATTAATTCTGACCCTGAACTTTATTATTTTCAGACAGCTTAACAGCCTTCTTCACTTGTGACTGAAAGTCTGTGCCAGAATGCTTCACAGTTAGCAACTTGCTGTGTGTTGTTGTTTTTAAATAATGTACTCGATGATTTGCTCGTCACCTCTTATCTGCCTCTTATCTCTTGCTTACCACTGCATTCTTTATATTTTGGTTGATTGACCATCACTGACCATTCGCAGGAAACAGCACTGGTGTATTTTTAGCCAAAAAGTCACATTGGGTAAAGTTCCAGCTTACCTCTGTCTCTTTCTCTGTATCTGCTGCATTAGATAACCATAGATGCTATAAAAGATGGATGTAGTCACTGCGATGTCACCCACTTGTTTTCGACTTTCAGAGTTGAAGTCTTTATGCTAACATTTGGTGTAGGAAGTCATATTTGGCGTACACGTCAGCTTATTACTGTTTAGTAGCAGAGTAATAGCAGTCTAACAAAACAGCACAAGCTTATTGGCTTGGCTGCGTAACTCAGTGAGCCCTTATATTTGTCAAATGATCCATTAAAATGATTCAAAGGGCATAGAGTAACATAGATACAGTGAAGAGGTCCAGTTCATTAACTCCAGTTAGAAAATGTGAGGCACACCACAGCATCAAGGTGGATGAGTTATTAAAGCCTACCTCTTTACCCTCTTTTGAGTTGTTGTGAAAGAAGGGAACTCAAATCAGTTTGTACCAGCCTGTAAACATGCTTTTTAATCTTCTAAATGTATGCATTTCAACATAGGAAACTATGAAGGTGTCGCCTTCATTTTTCTGTTGCTTATGATGTTACTTGGCAACAGATCTGGGGTAAACAGCATTTTTCTACTTATGTACTTTGAATATGAAATAGCTAGTGTAAAGAACTAAACGTATACATGGTTATACCTATAATGTATATCAATACCTAAAGCATCATAAAGAATGTGGTCATTGTCACTAGATGTTGTTGTTTTATGTGGTTACTACTTGATCCAAGAATCTTGTGTAAAAGAGCTGGTACTTTCTGATAAAATATAGTTATATATTAATCACGTAGGGAAATGCCTTGACTTTTTCCAGTTTCTATTTAATATTAATACCATGACTTTGGGCTTTCTGGAAATATCGAGTACTGATCTGACACCAGTGTTAAATTAATTATATAGAATCCTTATTGTGAGATTGAAAATCCCTTTTAATGTATAACATTAGTGTAGACTTCTAACATGTATGATCATCTACTCTAAAGTCACTGACTCTGTTTTTAAAGTGCATTTTCCTTAAACAGTTTAGAGACGGTGTCCCTGTTGTGTAGTTTGCACTGATTCCAAATTACACATCATGCACTAACAATACAGTCCAGTCTTCTCCTCTTAATGCCAGAACAGTTCGTCTCGGGTATGTCCCCAGCTAATAATTTGATCAGCTAATGGTGAAAAAGAGCAGATCCTTGGTCCATTCAGTCCAC